ACAAGAACTAAAGTTAACAATAGTTTTCATAGTGTCAAAGTTATCGCTATAGTTATCTATAGTCAAAGGTTCAAGTCAAAACTCTCTCTGACGTCATCGTAATATGTAATACAATCTTGTTGTTCTTCAGTAGCGTTTACCTAAGGATTTGATAGTGCACTGGCTGAAATCGTGTTTATGGATTAATTATGGAATTCTTATGTGATCCAAACCCAATTTTACTGTATAACCGACGACAGAAATATGTGAAGAGACAATGTGAACTGACATTTGAGGTTGAAATAAAATAAATACATATTTTTAAACCAAGAAAGTCCAGTAGGGATACAACATAAACAAACCGGAGTGGCATACCTTTCTCTCTTATAATGTATAATGGGGTATATTTTTTGTAGAACGATTATTTTGGGGTTTTGCCGATTTATTCCTATGGTACACATGATAAATAAGTGTAATAAATATAATTTGTGGAAAAGGTCCAACAAGTCCCAGAGTTGAATATCGGGAGTGGGGGTTGGGGGGGGGGGTGTCCTGACCAAAAGTAACTGTGATTGCGAAGTGTATAAAAACAAATGAGAGAGAGAGAGAGAGAGAGAGAGAGAGAGAGAGAATCTCTTCCCACTTTCACATAAATCGGTATATCTAATTCTTCCTCGTTTTACTTACACTGCTAAAGTCACAATTAACTATTCATGCAATACTATTTAAGTTCCATTTGTTTTATATTCCAATAGTTACAACATCTTTACAATTTGTTCAGTGTTACTCGTGTACACAAAATCCCCGTGCACCTGTCAATAAAAATCACACGACGCTAGGTGACCCAGAACTGGTTACGCGGAAAGTATTTCTCTTGTAATTTGAAACATTCTTGAACTGTTGTTATGGTCAATTCCGAGTTCACATCATTCTTGTAAAAATATATTGGGACACATCCTTGGGGCCCGAGGCGCTGTGTGCTTATCACAGCTCAAATTCTTCCGTCCTGACCATATCAACTAATCAAGTGTGTAACACACTTAGCCAACTTCCAGCCAAATTCAACTACAGAGATTCACCATCACACGTGTACTTTCATTTGATTGTCAGTTTTATTAATTAAAACTACTATAGTGATCATTATGTCATTTCAGAGATAACTTTGAATGAAAAATTTGATTTATTATAGTTAACTATAGTTTACTATAGAATTTTTTGGTCAGGGAAATCCATAATTCCTGATATGGCATGGAGCCATGAATTATAACAGAGTTTGCTTGTCATAACCATGCATTTCATTTCGCACTACAGAAAAGGTGTGCGATGATAGTATCGGAGATTTTTTGTATAAAAAATACATTCTTAATCAGGATTGCGATTCTTTTTAGTACTTTACTTAAAAGGGGAAAATGTTATATGGTTATTAAATACACATTGTGAATGATTAGATTATTCATTAAAACTTGTCACGTGATGTGGCAGTCACGTGATTTTGCAAATGAGGTCATCTTCAAATTCAATAGTAATTGGGCATAACCATGTTAAAGTTCTAAGTGTAGGTTATCAATATTTTCAACACCAATTGAAGTTTGTGAAATGTTCTGCAATATAACATAGATTCCACAATTTCATTATTGCGTGGACCCTGAGGTCCACGCAGAAAATATATAAAGGAGGTTAAACCAGATGCCACGGAATTACGTCAGGTTATGCGTGCGCCAGAATGCTTTAGACGGTTCCTTCTTAAGACAACTTGCCTTCAGGACAATCGCCCTCTTCGAAATAGAACTCACAAACCATTGAAAAACCTCGCTTAAAATCTGTACGTCGTATTTATTTATTAATTAGCGTATATGAGATCCGAATCTCCTTTTAATACATATATCCTTATATGTAAAAAAAGAGCATATTTTACTAAAGTTTTGTATATGGATTGTTAAATTCAGTGTTTCTATGGTGCAAGCATTTATTGACAAAACGTCAGAGATACTCAAGCTGTAGAAAGTCAACTTAGAAGTGATATAAATATCCTTAAAAAACAAAAGATGTAGGCTATTGAGTTCCATTTTCTGTAGAATGAAATAAGAAGATAATGAACAGTATTCAATCTCGAAAGTCCAATGAAACGATTCAAGTTTGGAGCAGAGCAAACACAGACCTCGAAATTTAAAGGTAGGATTAGGTGCCATGGAGGAGTGAGCAACCCATCGTGTGCTCCTTGTCATGACCGAAAAAAACCCGGAAAAATCCGTCGACAGTTTAGCGTATAAATAATGGCCTACCAATTAGTATGGAAAACGTCAGTCAGCATTTGACTCAATGATAGGTTGCATCTGCTGACAAGTCATTGTATCAACCATAAAACTTGCGAAATGATGACTTCAAACGAGACTGTTGATATCCTTGTTTCATCAACTTGATTAGCAGTTGCTTGCCCTGTTTTAAACTTTGTTCATACGTAGAGCATGCTCTTGCGTATCGAATCAACTGCGAAATATAAACCCCATATGCAGGTGATAAAGGTATATTGCTACATACATGTACATGTAAGTAAGGGAAGTTAATGATTGAAAAGTTGAAGTCATCACGTTTGTCATAAAGCTTTCTTGTAAGGTTACCATTAACGTCTTTTTCTAGTAAAATATCTAAATATGAAACAGATGTGCCAGACTTTGTGGTATCTTTTATTTCAAGCTCACTGGGATATATCGAGTCGACAAATGAATGGAAGTAACTATTGTTAATTTACAATACGTCGTCGGAATATCGAAATGTCGAGTTGAAGGCCACAGCAAGTGTTTTATTTTTCTTATGTAGAAGTTTTTTGAATAAATTCTGCTTCATTTGAATACAAAAATAGGTTTGCTAATAACGGGGCGCAATTGGTACCCATGAGGATTTCAACAGATTGTTGGAAGACCTGGTCTCCAAAAACCAGATAGATATTGTCAATCAGAAACTCAGGCATCTTTTTGATATTAACTTCAGAGTACTTGTGTGTACAATCAGAATGCTTTTTAACAAAATAATTTTGCAAATGACCAATGACAAGGTAAGTATATATACGAGTTCCATTTTTATTGGAAAAAGCAGCTGTCTATGATATCAAAAAATCTGGATTTCAATTTATAGTTGGGAATGGTTATATAAAGTGTTGAAAAGTCGTATGTTTTGATGTTATTGGTTTTAGTAAAATTTAGTGATTTCAAATTCTCTAAAAGTTCCTTGGGGTTTTTAAGTATCCACATCTGATTTACACTACTTCTCGAATATACTGTTGTATAGTACTCCTGAAGTTTCTTCTTCATTACAGTAAATATTTTAGTGAGGAGTAAAGAAAGAGACTCGGTAAAACATTTACTTGATCTACTTGATCCCGCTATGTATCTTTTATGAAGTTTAGGAATCCAGTAAAGGTATGGTAATTCAAATGCATATTCATTGTTGGGAATATTAAAAAATATCTAAATCGGACATATGATTTAGCAGAATTTCCTCCTTAGAAAGGGAGCTATGGGTGTAAGTTGGATTTCCACCTGCAGAATTAAATCCTAGTTCCTCTAAAATACAATTCAAAAAATGAGCCGTCGCCCACGTGGCGCGGTGGTCATAGCGTTCGCTCTAGAGTCGCGGAGTAAGGAGCTGATCCTTAAGTCGGGGGTTCGACTCCCACTGTGGGACGTGGAAACCGGTCCTTCGGATAAGACCGTATAAGCCGAGGTCCCTTGTGGCAGTAGGTGTTGTCACGAAAAAGATCCCTCACTGCTCAATGGCCCTGAGTGCCGAGTATAGGACAAAATTTGCAGCTCTCCACCGGCAAGTGGTGGCGTCTCCATATGAGTGAAAAATTCTCGAGAGGGACGTTAAACAATAAGTAAAAAAAAAAATTAAAAAAATTATGAGCCTTACAAACAAAGACTACGTTGTTACCAGCTTTGTCAGCTGGGATCAGTACATACTGATTGTGTAATCTATCTAATTCCTTTTTCATTTCGTATTATTAAAGACAGAAGGATAAATAGTTTTCATGAAGCCCCTCAATCGCTTGATGCGAGATTTCAACATCTATCTGCATGATGCTCTTAATCTATTCTGACAAAGTGTCAAGGTCTTCTTTTTCGTGTTTGATCCATCGCCTGGCGTATTCTTCAACAGAATTCATAATATTTATAAAATTATGACGCCAGTTGAAAGTATGGGGTTCCCTAAATTTTGGCCCTTTTCAAATAAGGATTTAAGGTTGTCATTATTAACTATGTTTACATCACCAGTAATGGAAGATCCAGCAGGACTATAGTTGTAGGTGAAGAAGAACATGAACACGTAGGAGGATAATGTATCAGATGTTCGATATCTAGGCATTGTAGAGTTTTTTTGTAATTAAAAGTACCGAAGCACTAGCCGATGTATATTTATAAGAAATACAAGGTGTGGACTTCAGCTTGAAATATGGTGGAATACAAGACTGGACTCTTTTGTGATTAAGAATATTTCTAATAATCTACTGATTATGGATATTGCTAATCATTGGCTTTTTAAACCGCCACGTTTTACGGAAGATAATACTGCTCAAACAACCCGTCGAATCCTTTGTTTGCAAACTGACGTTTAAGGAACAGATGGGTTGTTTGAGCAGTATTATCTTCCGTAAAACGTGGCGGTTTAAAAAGCCTATGATTAGCAATTTCCATAATCACTGATCCAAGCCTGTATTCTGGTACTAGGAAACAAAATGCTTGTGCATATACATGCTGTTGTGTTCTTGTATTCAGTGTATTAATAAACAACACTATATAGCCGCATAAACAATCCAGTAAACTGTTTATATTAACTTTACTATGTGTTCGGACATCAGCATCCAGTCCCAGGAATATCATATTGCATTGCCAGACTTAATACTCTGTACATATGTTTGTATGCTTTAGTCTAGAATAAAATGCTAATCTGTAAAGATGCCTTCTAGTACTCATTTCTTTTGTTAAATAAAAACAACACAAAATTGGCGACGAGGATTTAAAACAATGGCTGGATATATAGGAAAAATTGAGGCGTTTGATGGCACAGTTGATACGTGGACAGCGTACACGGAACGTTTAGAACAGTACTTCGAAGTTAATGGAATTACGGGCGGCAAACGTGTCCCTGCGCTCCTAAGTTTGATTGGGGGAAAGACTTACGCTTTACTAAGGAATCTTACAACACCAGATAAACCATTGTTAAGGTTCTTAAAGATCACCTATCGCCAAAACCCTTAGTAATTGCGGAAAGATTTCGTTTCCATAAAAGAGAGCAAAAAGAGGGCGAAAGTGTCAATGAATATGTCGCACAGATCAGGAAACTTTCTGAGTATTGTGACTTTCAGGATCTAAATGACACCCTTAGAGACCGATTTGTTTGTGGACTCCGAGATGAACAAACCCAGAAGAAATTACTGTCCATGCAGGGGCTCACCCTGGATAAAGCAATTCAAATAGCGGTCGCTATGGAAATCGCATCAAAAGACGCATTGGAACTGCAAGGAAAAAATTGCGAGTCTGGAGTCAACAAATTAAAATTCCAGAAATCGAAATCAAAGTTGGAAAAACCGAAACCTTCGAATTGTTACCGATGTAACAAAAGTGGACACAGAGCAGAAGAATGCAGATTCAAAGATGCAACATGTCACAAATGTAAAAAGAAAGGACACATTAAAGCGGCATGTCGTGCAAAGGACCAATCATTCAAATTTCCGAAGAAAGTGCATGCAGTAGACGATGACAGTGATTTAGGATTGTACACTGTACATACCGGTAAGCGAAATGAGATAATGGTGGATGTGTCTATTGACGGGAAAAATGTCAACATGGAACTAGACACAGGTTCCGCAGTCTCCGTTATTCCGGAAAAAGTTTTTACAGAATTGTTTCCCAGGAGGAAACTCGAGGATACAAGCGTCACTTTAATGACTTACTCAGGAGAAAAACTCAAACCTCTTGGTGTAGTTCGTGTAGATGTCTTATACAGAGATCAACGGGAAAAGTTAGAAATGTATGTTGTTTCAGAGGGAAAAGCGATACTTTTCGGGCGTGAATGGCTACGAAAAATCAAATTGGATTGGAATTCCCTGAACAACGTCACACTGGATATCAATGAGTTATCACAGAAATTGGAGAAAATTCTTGATAAACACAGTGCCGTGTTTACAATGGAAACTGGATCCGTCAATGGAATCAAAGCGAACCTCATCATGAAGGAAAGCGCTAAACCAGTATTTGTGAAAGCAAGATCGCTTGCTTACGCTCTGAAACCCAAAGTTGAAAAAGAGTTGGAACGACTTGAAAGTGAGAGCATCATAACCAAAGTTCCGACAAGTGAATGGGCCACACCAATTGTACCGATAGTAAAGAGATCAGGTGATATCCGAATTTGTGGGGATTTCAAAGTTACGATAAATCCGCAACTTGAAATAGAGCAATACCCATTGCCTCGCATTGAGGACATATTCGCTTCATTGGCAGGTGGACAGAAATTCTCAAAGATCGATCTGAAGAACGCATATTTGCAACTTGAAGTAGAAGAGGAATCAAAGAAATTTCTTACAATTAACACACATCGAGGATTGTACCGTTACAACCGACTCCTATTCGGGGTAGCGTCAGCACCTGCAATATGGCAACGCACCATTGACACAATATTGCAAGGATTAAATGGAGTACAGTGCATTTTGGATGACATGGTAATTACGGGTAGGAATGATGCAGAACATCTTGAAAATTTACGCCACGTTCTACAGAGACTGGAGGAATATAACTTGAGAGCGAACAAATCCAAGTGTCAGTTTTTCCAAGACCAAATTGAATACTGTGGTCATTTAATTGACAAACAAGGATTACACAAAACCAAGGATAAAATTAAAGCTGTGTTGGACACCCCAGAGCCAACCAATACCACCCAACTTCGAGCGTTTCTAGGTCTTGTGAATTACTATCACAAATTCCTTCCAAATTTATCATCTGTTGCACACCCGTTACACAAACTCTTGGAAAAGGAAGTCAAATGGCAGTGGACCAAAGAATGTCAGGAAGCGTTCGAGGAAGCAAAAAGGTTGGTAACTTCTGATCAAGTATTATGTCACTATGATCCAAACTTACCAATCAGGTTAGCGTGTGATGCGTCACCTTTTGGATTAGGGGCAGTGTTGTCGCACGTGTTGAAGGACGGGACGGAACACCCGATCGCGTTCGCTTCAAGAACTTTGAATAAGGCTGAGAAGAATTACAGTCAAATTGACAAGGAAGCTCTTAGTATTGTGTTTGGTGTAAAGAAATTCCACACTTATCTGTATGGTCGCGAGTTCACCTTGATAACCGATCATCAGCCGTTAGTGTCAATTTTCAATCCTAAGAAAGGAATTTCAGTTACCTCCGCTGCACGAATGCAAAGACATGCAATATTTTTAAGTGGATATACGTACAACATTGAATATCGCAATACAAAACGCCACACGAATGCGGATGGATTGTCAAGAATTCCTCAGGAAAAGAACGGACTTGAGGCCGAAGACTTAACTGATGTAGCAGATATGTTTACACTCAGTCAAATGGAACAAATATCATGTCTTACGCACCAAGAAATTAGAAGAGAAACGTCCAGAGACAAAATTTTGTCAAAAGTGTACGATTGCATTGTTAATGGTTGGACTGAAAATGAGGATCCAAATCTAAATCCATACTTCAGTAGAAGGAATGAATTGACTGTTAGTCAAGGCTGTGTCATGTGGGGATGCAGAGTTATAATTCCACAACGATTTCAGAAAAGAGTACTTGAAATGTTTCATTCAGCTCACCCCGGAATCGTGCGAATGAAACTTTTGATGAGAAGTTACGTTTGGTGGCCGAAAATCGATTTGGAAATCGAAAAGCTTGTTAAAAGTTGTTCTGGATGCCAGAAACAACGCCACAATCCGAAAACTGCACCCTTACATCCGTGGGAATGGCCATCAGCTCCGTGGAAACGTATCCACATTGATTTTGCAGGACCATTTTTATGACACATGTTTCTTATTGTCGTGGACGCACATTCAAAATGGCCAGAAGTTATTCCTATGCAGACGACCACGTCAACCAAAACGATTATTACTTTGCGTAATATCTTTGCAAGAAACGGATTACCGGAGCAGCTTGTTTCCGATAATGGCCCACAATTTGTGTCTGAAGAATTTCAGAAATTTATGAAACTAAACGGAATAAACCATATCCGATCAGCACCCTATCATCCTGCAACAAATGGCCTGGCGGAACGTTTTGTTCAAACTTTTAAACAAGGTATGAAAGCCATGGATAAAGAAAATGCGGACATTCATAAGAAGTTAGCAAAATTTCTTCTTACGTACCGTAACACGCCTCACGCCACAACAAATGAAACACCATCGATGTTATTCATGGGGAGAAACCTTAGATGCCGTTTTGACCTTATCAAACCTGACCTGGGACGAACTGTTAATGATAAGCAAATGAAAACTGCAATCACTACCAAAGCAGAGAAATTAAGAGAATTCAACACTGGAGAACAAGTGGCAGTTAGGGATTACCGCGGGAAGGAGAAATGGACCAGCGGCGAAATTATTCAGCGCAAAGGACCATTAAACTACGAAGTAAAAACACAAGCAGGGGGAATTTGGAAGCGACACGCTGACCAAATCCGAAATGCCGAGTTCAAGGCCGACCCTGAGCAGAATTCCGATGTGGTAATACCAATAACCGATGATAAAGCTCAAGCAGCTAACAGTGAAGCAGACGAGACGTCTGACGAATCACCGCCGATAATTAATGCACCACAGGAGCGCCGATATCCGTTGCGAACCAGGAAGCCTGTGGTCAAATTAAATTTGTGAATGGCTGTTTGTGTAAACACCGTATGGGTAATAATAATTCCCATAACAGCCAATAATTAGCAGTGGTTGTAGTGCGCGTAGAAAAAAAAAGTTTCTTTTGCAACCACATTAGTTTGTAAATAATTAGGAAAAGTAGTAAAAGTTATTTGATGTATATCTTTACTAATTATTTCTTCTTAGATATTTTCTTAATTAAAGGTTAAAATTGAATATTATTTTATCTGATGGACATAAAATAAGAAGGGAGGAAATGATGTGTTCTTGTATTCAGTGTATTAATAAACAACACTATATAGCCGCATAAACAATCCAGTGAACTGTTTATATTAACTTTACTATGTGTTCGGACATCAGCATCCAGTCCCAGGAATATCATATTGCATTGCCAGACTTAATACTCTGTACATATGTTTGTATGCTTTAGTCTAGAATAAAATGCTAATCTGTAAAGATGCCTTCTAGTACTCATTTCTTGTGTTAAATAAAAACAACACAAAACATGCAAGCAGTGTCTTTATCACGAAGTTGCACATTAGTCTAAAATACATAAACAGAACTTAAAATTGATATAATTAATCGTACTACTTTTAAAAATGAATTGTATTCAATACGTCACTCGTTTTCAGGAATATTTAATGAAGCATAGTGGAGGTTGTTTCTATTTTCTTTGAAATATTTGTCCATATAAACGTACTTAATACTACACGTATTTATTTGTATTACAATTACTAAATGACATCACAACATTAGGTATCATATACAGCAATCCAAATAGCTTGTTACAGGCCTGTGGCAAAGTTTATCAAAGTGGAGGGGGACGGGGGCTCCGAAAAAATCCCGCGTGACTACGAGAAGATATGTGCTGCAAGAGTACCCTTCCAATTATAGAAACTTCCGTACAAATTCCAAACAAGTCCTAGTCGTTAAAGGTTACCGAAGATAGCTAAAACTATAGACCCATCAGGGTAAGAATTTAGTATTAATTCTGTGCTATTAAACTACTATTACTCAAAGTGGGTAGACCATTGTAGAAAATGTAAAGGCTGGGTTAACCTGTGTTACCTTTCAGACTAACCAAAGGACTCGTCCAAGGACGCATTGACGGCCGATGTAAAACTTTACCTGAGATTAGTGCGAAATCTCTGTATAGAAACTGTTGCGGCTGCGGAGCATCACACATTATTCCTTCGTCATAGGATAGAATCCAAAATTTAACACTTCATACCTTTTAATACACAGACATTGTAAAGATAAACTTCATGTTTGTTTCTAGAAATGTTTTTATCTACAAAAATAACATATTTTAATTCAATGACTAGACTTTAAAAGACAGGACAAATTTCATCGGCATCAGTTTTCTGCATCCAGGCGCTCGTAAGAACTCATTTCCAGTTGAAGGGGAAGGCGTGTGTGATCGAGGATCTGACATTTATTAAAAAAAAAGTCTTAAGGGGGTACGGCCGTAAATGAGCTTAGATTGAATACTTAATACCTCATTCCCGGGTCCTACAGATCTGACATCATCACTGGCAGAAACAAGACACTATTTTAAAATCTGAACACTAGCAAAACAGTTTCCACGTGATGTATTTGTGCTAAATGGATGTTCCCATTTAAAGGTCAAAGCTATGTACAGTGAACAACAGAAACCTTGACCAGGACGTGTTGCTTCCATTCTTTATTACAGTTTTAGTAATTAGACCATAAAGTTAAATTATAATTAAAAAAAAAATTCAAGATGGAAGAAATCTTTTTTGTAAAACGAATTTAATTAAAACCCAGAACTTTTTTTTTAAAAATTTCTGTTAGAAGCACAGACGATGGTCCACGTATTGCAGTCATTTTTCTTTAAAGGACAACAACTTGTTAAAACCATATTTCGGACGAGATCATTGCGTTCAGAGAATTCCAGGTGTTTAGTTCAACCTCGTGCTCGAACCAAGTCGTACGGTAATTCACGTAATACGGTAAGAACAGCTGCACTCTGGAACAGTCTCCCGGTAGATCTGAAACAAGAACAAAATTAATGTAGTTTTGAGAAGTGTGTTAAGACTCACCTTTTTAAATGCCTTTTTATCGTTAACGCAGTAATGATGTTTTCTTTTTTCTTTTTTTTTTTTTTTTTTTAAATTTTCTAGTGTATACTTTGTTGACTCTTTATAACTTGTAAAACTTTTTCATGTTTCAGTGTCATACTTTTATTATTTAAAAATATTTGTTTGCAACGGCTACTCTAGGATCCAATTTTTTTGGCTATGTTATTTATAACGAACTATGTCGACGTCCATTTTAAATTTCTTAAATTGTGTGCTAGTTGATTGTTGTATTTTTTTCATACATTTTTTTTAATGTGTTAGTGCTTTAGAGCATTTTTAATTACATATAGCGCTATATACTCTTTTATATAATAATAATACTATTTAAATAGATCAATATTTATAGAGTTTATATTCCAATCTAATCCGCTCTGAATTAGATGATGTTATCGAAGGAAGTGCATGACATTAAATGGTTTACCCAAATCTCAAAATTAAAGCTGAATGGTTATCGTCCTTGTAAATTTTGTCAATCGATTATTACCCCTTTTAGCATTTGCTTTGAGGGCGCATTAGTTGCAACTTCCTTTCTCCATTTTGCAGCAATAACATGAGTCGGTAAAATTCTCCCTCTTGTCATTGTGTATTATTAATTTGAAACAGCCAATTACCATACCCATTTATAATTGATACTGCTTTTTTAAAATTGTTTTTTTTTTCAGATGAAGACTCATAACAGAGATCATCTCAATATGACAAGCTTAAACAATTACAGTACTTCACCACGTAGGACTTTGACATTAAAGTATTGGTTTACTGAACAGTTAAGGGGAGATTAATATTTAGTTCCCAGCTCAGAAGAGAGTTTGTGAAAGCGAAATGCAGACTAGGCACGTTAACAGTTATGGATAGTCAAATATTCAGTGTCTCAACTGGGTGTCTTAGGATGTGGAAGCGATACCTGATTCATTGAACTAGACTGTGGCAGAATAATCATGCGCCGTTACTGCAGTACACGATATCTTTTGAACCATAAACAATAATGTAGACTTTCAGAATCTGGTACGGCTGTCTATTTCTTTTCCAGCTGAGTTATGCGTTAACTACTGACACAAGAAATAAATAAGTGCTTGACCTCTTCACCTCTCAGGGTCAGGGTTTTTACTACGTTGTGAGAAAATGCAGTGATGTAAATACTATACAGTGATGTAACTCTTTAAAATTTAAAAGTAAACTTTTAATTTAAATATATACATAAATAAGTGCTTGACCTCTGTACCTCCCAGGTTCAAGGCTTTTACTACAAGTTGTGAAAAAAATGTTTGTGAACTTTGACCTTTAAACTATGAACTTTGAACCTTGATTTGAATATTTGATGATGTGAATTTTGCTTGTGTTGTAGGGCCTGCCCATTGTGTTTGGTGGCCCATCCATTGTGTTGCCAGAGACACCAATAGTATTGTTAATTCGATATACAGCCGTGCCCAATGTTTGCCACAATAAAAGTTCTTTTAATACAATCTTTGTGTTTATATATGCACTTATCGGAGATAATGTGTAAAAGTTTACTATGATCTATAGAGGGTATGCCCTTGCATTAGATGGATTTACTAAAACCATTACATTACCCTCAAATATACCTGCATACAAATATACGACAGCATCTTTTAACTAGATAATGTACGGAAAATATATGAATAAAATCATAATAAAACATCCAAGGTAATGGCCTGTTAAATATCTGCAAATAATATATATATTTTTTAAATTATGATTGATTGATTGATTGTTTTACGTCCCGTTCGAGAATTTTTTCACTCATAGAGAGACGTCACCATATACCGGTGAAGGGGGCTTCAAATTTAGATCTTTTACTCGGCACTCAGGGCCATTGAGCAGTGAGGGTTCTTTATCGTGCCAACGCCAACCGTGACATGGGGCCTCGGTTTTTAAGGTCTCATCCGAAGGACCCACAACTTTCACTTCCAAGTGCTGAGCGCTTGGCAAAGGAACAGTTGCTACCTATTTTTATTCGACTTAGGTCAGTCGCGGCCATGATTCGAACACACGATTTTCCGATCACGGAGCGAGCGCTCTACCGACGTAGCTACCGTGACGGCTGTTTAATTATGAAATACATTTTTGGTTGTAAAAATATTACTTTATCTGCCTCTCACTGCGTACAAATTGTTTCAAGTTTTAGACAAATGACTTGTTTATACCTTTCAATGTGGGATTTAAATAACGACAAAACAAAATGCTATGGTAAGATTTGATGTAGTTTAATGCTCCTTTATAGTTTAAAATCGCAAATCATTTCATTTTTTGGCAATTGTAAGAAATGTTATAGCTTCATATGATGTCATAATTAATATTTCCAGTATAAATTAAGCTCCACCTACTTTCTGTAGCCTTAACTGTGCTGCGTTGTCTTACAGTCATTTGACATAAGTATTCGTCAATGTGGTCAAAATATGCAGATAGCCGTAAAAGTTGTCACGGCTATTTCCGATCGTATTTTTATATAAATCATATCGGGTTCGCACATTTGTCCAGAATTAACATCACAAATTTCTGGCGATGTCAGTATGTGCAAGTACGGCTATTTATAACTTCAGTTTCATTTTTACCATTTTACAGGGCATATTTTGACCCTTGGTGGGCTTAGCTCTTTGTTCAGTAAGATGGAGAAAATAGCCACAAGGGAAAACAGAGGAAATCGAAGTTGCCATTTTAAACAAGGTAAATGAATATTAAAACCGAAAAGAATATATCAAGCATTAGTACATGTGGATTGTTTGGAATACAAAGGACAACCATGTACAGTATTATGAAAAGAAAAAAAAAAATGAAAGATTTCGGCAGTGTAAAAACAGGCATTGATCTGTAAGAAAAACCCGAGTTCGCCATGCGCGACTAAGATCAACATTCAAGACTGGTGAAAAACTAGAACTGTCCAAAAAG